GGAGATGTTTATGTCCCCCTTTTCTGGGCAGTTTGGTGAAATCAATCTGCCAATATTCCCCAGGAACCTGCTGTTATCCACCAGGTAACAGTTTCCACCAGAGGAGAAGGGTTCTGGGGATGTGATGGAGAAATCCAAACCAAAGGAGTGAACCCCCCACTCTGGGAAGACCACGGACACACTGAGGTGAGGGGCAGCTCAAAGGGGCTCATAAACCATCAAAGACCCCCAAAGCACCCCCAGACTCATTCCTGAGGCCTCCCACCACCAGAGGACCTGATCCAAGTGAGGCAACAAACCCAGAGCCTGTCCCAAGAGACTGCAAAGCTCCCCCACCACCAGGGGAGGTGCCTGGAACCTCCTGAACTGATATTAATCCATCCCCTGAATTTACATTAATCCATCCCCTGAATTTACATTAATCCATTCCCTGAATTTATATTAATCAATCTCCTGAACTGATATTAACCCATCTCCACTGCATTCCATGTTTTGTGGGACCCTCACCACCAGGAAGACCAGAAGACCCCCAGGGCACTGTGGGTTCCACAGTGGTGACACATTTTCTCCCTCATCTCTCTCTGCCACTCCCTTTTCTTTCTTTCTTCCCCTGCCTTATTTTTCCCTATTTCTTTCTCTCTCTCTCTCTTTCTCTGCCTCACATTTACTGTTAAATAAAACCCCTACTCTTGACACTGGGTCTTGTTTGCACCTCAGTTTGAGAGGAGCAATAATTTTATATAATTCCATCATAATTTCAACAGCTGGCTCGTGAGCTGGGGCCGGGCTCGGGGGCGGGCGGTGTTCCCGTGGGATGTGCTGCTTCCCACTCACCTCTTCTCCCCATCCTTGCAGTTGGGGCAGGTACAGGCCATCCTCCTCCTCTTCTCTCCGGGCTGGATCTCTCCAGACAGCGCCTGCTCCATCTGGAGCTGGATCTGGGTGGGGCTCAGCCCGCTGATGGTCAGGTTGTTGCCGGACACGTTCTGCACCGTCAGCTGCTGCTGGCCTGGGGGAGGAAAAGGGGGATCAGCAGCCAGCCACGCTCCTTCCGTGGCTTCTGCCAAACCCTCTGCAAGGGCTGGCTGGAGGGAAGGCCCCCCAGGAGCACGGGACACCCCAAAATTCATCCCACCCCGCCCCACATGCAGCACAGCCACAGCTCCACCACCCACCCCCCCCCCGGGTAAGTCCCTTTTTCCTGAATATACTGTGCGGTTTTTCAAAGTTTTCGGTTGGTTGGACCCTTCCAGGAAAAAAAACTGTTGGGCTCTCAGAGGAGGAAATAAAAAAAGAAACTTTGAAAAAACGTGCAATATATTGAGCAAAAGAACGGGACTTACCCCCGGGGCCCTCAGGGGGCCGCTCCGGGCCCCGGCGCTGGCGGAGGAGGAGGCGGCACCCGGAGAGCTGGAAAGAAGAAGATGGGATCGGCGTCAGCAAAGCGGGATCGCTGCTCCCGGGGCAGCAGGAGCAGGAGGAGGAGCAGCAGGAGGGAAAGGAGGAGTGGGATTTGGCAGCAGAGCAAAGCAGAGGGGTGATGTCGGAGAGGGGGGAGCGCGGGCGGAGCTGGGACACCTTCCCGGGTATCAGCGCCGAGCCGAGGGTCGGAGCAGCTCTTGGGAGGCACTTTGGAGGTGGGAATGTCCTCGCTGAGACCCACAGCCAGCAGGTCCTACCAGTCCCCTCCACATCTGCCCACGGCATCTCCCCTGTTCCAATTAAACCCCCCCCCCCAGAAGCCAATCCCGGGGGGAGCAGCGGCCAAAGGTGGAGCAGGAAACCGCGGCGGGCCGGGTTTTCTGCTGACACGGCCTTTAGTGGAGCAAGAAGGAACAGCTCTCCCGTGCCAAACCCAGGTGCTGCTGGCACAGGAACCACGGCCAGGCAGCAGGTCTGGCTGGCTGGGGAAGGAGATGAACTTCCCACAGACACGGCTCCCCGGGAAGGGCTGGTGGCAGGAGCAGGGACACGGAGGCTGTCCTGGAATCACCAGGGCTCCCTGTGGCTCCTGGGCCATGGCTGGCTGGTTTTGGCTCAAGGAAGATCCCAGGAGGTGGGAAGATCCCTGGGAATGGTGATCCCTCGCTGTGGAGCTGGAAGCACAGGGAATTCCCTCTGCTGGAGCCCAAACCAGCAGCCATCGCTGCCAGAGGATGCAGGGAGATGTCTCAGCACCGGGATTGGGATTTGGAAGTGGGATCCATGGCAGGGGAGGCTGCAGGAGGGATAATCCCATTGCACCACATCCCTCTGCCTGGCTGGGTCCTGGTGCTCCAGGGAAAAAAGATCTCCAAAAAAAAAAAACAACTAAAAAAAAAAAAGACACCTCGAAAAAAATAAACTCAAAAAAAGACACCTCAAAAAAAAGGCCCCCCAAAAAAAAGCCCCCCAAAAAAAAACCCCCCTGAGGGACTGGGGCCCAGCCCAGGGCCC